AACATGAAGAAGTGACAATGTTAATAGAAGATGACAAACAGTTCGAAGAAGAAGAGCAATGGATTGAACAGTGTCAGGAAACCTTTCTCCGCTTAAGAATAGAGGCACAATATTATATGAAGAAACAGACAATAACTGATAAGAAAGAAAAGAATATGGAAACCGAAGTTATAAGTACACCAGAAGAAAACCTCCCAAATTTAGTTCAAGTGAATGAGAATGACATATCGGCAGCAAGTGAGGAAAATCAAAACAACAGTGAGATAACAGCACCAATATCAACTCAAGAAGTTCAAGACGATAATGGCCAACCCAGAAGTTCTACCAATGATTCAGTTCACACATCTGAATATAATGAGGCGACAGTAAGTCATGTGAACAAGAGTCAAAGCCTTTTTCGCATTGAGAAGCCTAAAATGCCAATATTTTCCGGTGACGTCAGAGAATATGGGACGTTCAAATCTGACTTCACACATCTGGTTGAAAGCAGATATAGCAAGAGAGATGCGATAACCATTTTAAGATTTTGTCTACAAGGAAAACCACTCGAAATGATAAAGGGAATTGGCCAAGACTATGATGCTGCATGGGAATATCTGGAAGCAGTCTATGGGGATCCCAGATTTGTAGCCGACATCATTACACAAGATATCTCTAAGTTTAAGCCTATGAAAGAGGGAGAGGACGCCCGGTTTTGCAATCTGGTTCATCTTGTAAAGAGACGCTTGAACACTCTCAAAGAAGTGGGACGTGAGAATGGTATGAATAACAATCATATGCTGGCTATCATTGAACAAAAGATGTATGCGGATGATCGCAAAGTATGGTCACGCCACTTGCAAAGTGGCAAAAGTGAGGCTACATTGGAGACATTAATCTTGTGGATGACTTGTGAGATGAAGTCGAGAATGAGAGCTACTGCCCCAGTCAGAAGCTCGTGGCAATCACCCAAACATGTCGGACAATTTGGTGGCAAAGAAGAAGGAAAGTATGTTAACCATAAGTGCTGGTATTGTAAAACGTCAGAACATTGGACCGACCAATGCCAAAAGTTCCTCGCCTTGGATGCCAGCGACCGCCTGAAAGTTGTCAAAGAAAATCATGGCTGTTATAGCTGCTTAAAACGAGCTGGTCGAACCCACAACATGTCCACTTGTTCGCGAAAGCGTCAATGCAATGAGATGGTCAACGGAGTCCAGTGCAAGCATTTCCATCACCCGCTGCTACACATTAAAAACAAAACGCTTGTGTCATCTGTCACAACATGCGGCGAAGCCATGTTACCCACCATTCGGACAGAATCCTGGGTTCACAGAATGCCAAGAAACAAGTCAATTTGTTACTAGACACTGGTGCTCAAATCAGCTTGATACGGACACCAGTCGCTGAAGAGCTTGGTCTGAAAGGTAAGAATGTCACCATAACAATGGCGAAAGTTGGAGGAGAAGAAGATGAGATGGCAACGAAGCTGTATCGATTTCCCATTCGTTCCCTTGAAAACCAGTCCATCCATACAATTACAGCTTTGGGAATCCCGAGTATTAGTAGTGAGATTTCCGTAATACAGCCTGACGAATATACCTGAAACCTTCGGTTTTGGAAAAGCAAAGATTCGGAGGGAGAATGGTCCTGTTGATGTCTTGTTAGGAATTGATCATCCGAAGCTGCACACTGGTGAAACAAGAGAATCCGGCAACCTCGTCGCAAGACAATCGCCATTGGGATGAGTTGTTTTTGGAGAAACATCTGAAAGTTGTGACGTCAGCCAGGTCTTCAATATCAAGAGTTCAAAGCCAATCGATTTGACTGACTTTTGGACTACCGAGTCGATGGGGGTGGAAGGAAAGATGTGTTCGTGTGAAACCAAGAAGTTAAGTCCGATCGAATCCCGCGAAGCCAAGATCATAGAAAGTTCCTGCCAAAAGGTTGGTAACCAGTGGTAATTCCATACCCGTGGGTCAAAGATGCGAGTGAGTTACCTGATAACAAAGCCCAAGCAGAGAAGAAGTTAGAAGCAACCGAACGTAGACTAGCCAAAAATCCTGACCATGCACAAGCGTATGACAAGCAGATGAAAGAGATGAGTGAAATGACCTTCTCCCGAAAATTGACAAGTGAAGAATTAAAATCATACGAAGGTCCAATCCACTATATATCCCACCACGAAGTAGTCAAACTCGAGAAAAGGAGCACACCTATCCGAATTGTTTTCAATTCCTCAGCATCGTATAAAGGGAATCGCTTAAACGACTACTGGATGAAAGGACCTGACCTACTAAACAATTTGTTTGGAGTACTTCTAAGGTTTCGAGAAAACGAAGTGGCCATTAGCGCAGACGTGTCCAAGATGTATCACCGAGTCTAATCCCCGAACGAGACCAGCATGTCCACCGGTATCTCTGGAGGAATATGGACACAAATCGAGCGCCTGGAATCCCCTTGGAATCGCTGCAGCTTTCCTGATTCGTGCCAAGATAGGGATGCAAAAACTGTGGTTGGCTGGACTACAATGGGATGAAGATTTACCGACAGAATTCCAAGCTAACTGGTTACGATTCTTCCAAGAGATGAACGACCTGAACAACATCACCTTCGAGAGGTCCCTTACGCCAGACATTGTTATTGGAGCTCCTGTGCTTTGCATCTTTTCCGACGCGTCGATCGACACCTTTGGAGCGTGTGCATACGTTCGCTGGGAGACCGAAACCAACACCTTTGTAACCAGATTTGTCGCTGCGAAGTCGAGAGTAGCCTCGCTAAAGTCTCTAACCATACCTCGTCTAGAGCTACAAGCAGCAGTCCTGGCAGTGAGATTATGTCGCTCAATTACTGAAGAGTCTCGGATGCAATTCGCAAGCATTATCTTCTTTTCTGATAGCCATATTGTCCTCTCGTGGATCCGCAACCAAGCTAGAGAGTTCAAACCGTTTGTGTCCGCCCGAGTTGCCGAGATCCAGAGAAAGTCAAAGCCACACCAGTGGAGACACGTTCCCGGAGAGTTAAACGTCGCTGATGATGTGTCGCGAGGAATACCCGCTCAACAACTCAGTGGCAGATGGAAGTACGGTCCAGAGTTCTTGAAGTTACCTGAAGAATAATGGCCAAAGGGGTCGGAGTGTGATAATGTTCCCAAGGAAGTTGATCAATCTGAACGTCGAAAGGCCCAACCCATATTACAGGTAAACCAATCGTCAGAAGAACTCCTTCCGTGCAAGAAGTTCTCCAGTTGGAGGAAACTCATCCGAGTCACTGGGTACGTGCTCCGATTTATCCACCGGGTAAAAAACAAACATCGAACGAAAGAAAACAGCGAACAAACCCAAACGAAAGACACACCCGAGGTTGAACCGACTTCCGCGAAAGAGTTACAAGATGCAGAATCGTACTGGATAAAGCAAAGTCAAAAGTCACTGCACGCTCGCCTGAGAAAGGGAGAACTTAAAGGACTAACGCCATTCATCGACAAAGAGGGTATTATCAGAGTTGGAGGACGCGTAAACAAAGCAGTAATATACCCTGCAGAAGGACACGGAGATAAGTATTAAAGTTATGGGATGAGGAGGTATCCTCATCGTGGGGGGAGAGTGGATCGGTAGCGTGGTATTCACGTGAACCGCACGAACACCGGAAGTGAACTTGATTTAAGTTTATATTCAAGGAAAATAAATGGCTAAATGCATAAGGGCTAAATGGCTAAATGCATAATTCATAAATGAATGTGCTAAGTTGGATGCACTAGTATCTAAAGAATATCGCCACAGAAGTAAGACATTTTCGAACAGTTTATTGACACATATAGCCTAGTTTATTGGATTTAAGTTACGATATACAAATATTATTTAATTACTTTATTTACTTTATATAGATCGAATTGTACCTTGGTATATATTTAATGATTCGTTATTAATTTATCAATAATACGATTTGCGATACTTCCTTTGCGAGTGCATGTGTGTTTATATGGATTTTGCTAACCGGTCTTCTCTGTTCTGAGGAAACACTATTCGACTTCTTGCTAACCACGTATTCCGAGGAATTTGAGACGAATTTTACGACGATAAACAACGATATTTACAATGCCACCGATCGAGGATATTGAGGAGACATTAAAGAAAGCTAAGATGAAACTAAGAAACGGAAAATCGACGTTTACTTCATTATCTTACTTAAGCGCGCAAAGGTCAGTCCGAAAGACATTGTAAACTTCTACTGTACAGTTATCAGGCCCATTTTGGAATATTGTGCCCCGGTTTTCCATTACTCAATCCCATCCTTCCTGTCAGAAGATCTTGAGACGGTACAAAAGCGAGCACTGAAGATCATTTTACCAGCGAACTCATATAGCGAAACTTTAGAATATTTTAATCTTCAAACTTTGTTCCAAAGACGCGAAGAAATGTGTAACAAACTTGTCACAAATATTACTAACAATCCGACACACAAATTGCATAATTTACTGCCTCCCAAACATGAGTCGGTTTACCAACTTAGGAACAATAGACTCTTTGAACGATTCGAAACTAATACAGAAAGATTTAAAAAAACTAGTTTATTCCTATGTCTAGTAACTTAAGTTAATGTAATTTTTAGTACTAAGCGTTTTAATGACCATTTGTAAATATGCCTAATTAACCCATATTCTATCTTTTAAATAATGTTTTATATACTCTTGTAAATCACGCAATTCAGCTGTTCAGCTGCAAGGTGAATATCTATCTATCTATCTAGGGAAAGTTATTA